ATCCCTCCCCCCCCCTCCCACGATTGATAGGCCCCGGTGTGTGATGTTCCCCTTCCGAGTCCAAGTGATCTCTATGTTCAGTTCCACTATGAGTGCAGAACATGGCGGTGTTTGGTTTCTGTCTTTGGTGGTAGTTTTAAGATGATGGGTTCCCAGCTGCATTCATGTCCCTACAAAAGGACACAAATATCTTTTTTATGGCGTGCACCTAGTATTCCATGGTGGGTATACTGTGCCACATTTCTTAGATCGGTCTGTCCACTGATGGACATTTGGGTTGTAAACTTGAGATGGAAGACATGAAATGGGGAAGCGATTTCCCTATTTTAATAAATGGTGCTGGGGAGATTGGTAGCCTATAAAGTAGAAGCAGTGAAACTGGATCCTTTCCCTTACTCCTTATACGGCGAAAATTAATTCAAGATGGATTAGAGACTTAAATGTTAGACCCATTTGATTCTTATAGCACTCCTGTAAGGTATTAGTCCCCTAGTTTTCAGATATATCCATTGCAAATGGTAGTTTAAATTACTTTTCCAAGGTCATATTCTTTGTTAGAACTAGCAGTAGCACTAAAATGAAAGTGAGCCTTAACTACAAATCTAGTAATTCTGAATTCCATGTTTTTTATTACATTGTCCATTTTTATTACTTCCTTCATTCAAACACACGTGTGCATGCGTATGCATGCACACGCGTGCGCACACACACACACACACACAGTATTAATTCTCATCAGAGAATAAGGTACAATGAATAAACTTTATTTTTGAGATCCTAAAACTTCATTTCACTCGTAATTAATGAACTTTTTCTAAAATGTTCTAATTCCTTCCCTGACTCTGCAAATAAAATATGTTGGTGATCATGAATATATTTTTTAATAACGTTTACCATGGGCACTTAACTGTATCTTGTGTTGTGGTTCAGCGATATTGTCAGTTGGAACTGAGCTTGTATCATTTTTACTTCTGAATTAAAAGACTCACATACTCCAGTATTTTATGAACTTTGAGTTAGAATTGCATAGTTTCTGATTCTTTTAATTATTTAGTTTGTTACTTCAACAAATATGAAATGCCTGTTCACTCTTTGAGTGTCAGACGCTGGGTTAGGTGCCAGGAATGTAGAGATAAATAAGATCTTAGTCTTGCATTGAGCAGCTAACAATCTACTTGCAACCCATTTCAGTGCAGTGTGACTAATGCCATACACTGTGAAGACCCAGAGAAAAGAATTCCTAACTCAATTGGTGAATATCATCCTTGCATGTATTCGTAGCAGGTCAAGGTGAATGAGTTTGACAAGTTCAAGAACTTTATTCTAGTAAAACTTCCTGACATTAAGCCTACTCAGAGATAGCAAGTGCCCCCAGGTTAATGACCAGAATCTCTATAATTTATCATCCACAATTTTCAGCATGTAATTACAAAATGCTCAACATTGGAAAAAACGGAATATTGTGACCCCTATCAAGAGAAAATGAGTCAACACGTCAACCCTAAGATGACTCCATTCAATAGTCAAGGACTTTAAAGTAGCTAGTGTGTATAGGCTCAAGAACTTACAGAAAAAATATTCTTATAATAAGTAAACATATATAGAATCTCAGTCAAGAAATCTAGAACTGAAAATTAAAATATATGAAATAAAAATTTCCTGTTTAACAATAGATTGGTGCTGGCAGAAAAAAGGGTCAATGAACTTGAAGAATGATTAATAAAATTATTGAATCTGAAGAACAGAGAAAAAAATGAATAACAATGAACAGGGTCTCAATGACTTGTGCTACAATACAAGACATTTACTGTACATGTACTTGAAGTCTCAGAAAGAGAGAATAGTATGTGTCACAAAAATATTTGAAAAAACATTGTTTAAAATGTTCATATTATTAAAAAATATAAGATACAGATCCAAGAATCTGAGTGAATTCCAGGTAGGGTAAATAGAACAACATCAAATATATGTAAGCAGAGTCAAATATTTAAAACCAGAAATGAAAAAAAGTCTTGAAAGTCACCAGGCTAAAATAACATAATTTTTTCCAAGATGGAAGATTAGAAGCTTGTTAGTACATCTCACCCAGTTAGACATAGCAAAATACTGTGTATAAATTTACACTGCAAAATTTTGTCAAATAAAACAAAACAAAACAAAACCAACCAGGAGTGCCCAGGAAACTGCCAGCCAGCACAGGAGGCAGTTATTGGTTTGGAGAATTTTGGTAGGGAAATTTGTGATCTGGCCTTGAGTAGGGGAGAAGTCCTCATGGCTAGAAAAGAGGTGAATGTGATATGGGCTTTAGCCACAGGCATGGGAGTTGATAACCCTGTCTTTGCAAGACTGGACCTGAAGAGATTTGGCCTGGGAGCCATGGTTTTGACACAGGCAGTAAGTTTTTGGCCTGCAGCAGTTTTGCCATCTGAAGACAAACTACTTGTGACCTGGCTAGTTGTCTTAGCTTGATGCCAGCTGCAAGCTGTGGCAAAGACCCTTGCCAGGTTGAAAGCATTAAAGCAAGGTGGGTTCCACTACTGCCTGCTCAGCCATGGTGCACGAGTTGCCTCTCTACCCATGCCAACTCTATGGCATGGTAATGGTTGCTTCGCTCCTCCTTGAAGTATTGCTCCATGGGCCTAAGAACTGCTTTCTGACTCCTGTCAGGGCCAGCACATATGCTCACTATTGAGGGCCCAAGTGCAGGTTTCACCATCCCAGCCCTCCCCAGCTTGTCTACTCACCCCTGCCTCAGAGGCAGAGCATGAGATTAGAACCACTGAAAGCTCCACGGCCCAACCCATCACCTGGAGCACCTGAGCATTTCTCCTGGTTAACAAAGATCAGGCATAAACTTACTGCTACCACCATAGCTGGCTCTCACCTGCAAGCACCACTTAATGGCCAGGAGGTGAACCCACATAGTCCAATACAAAATTTGCTAACATAATTGTAGCCTAGAAGCAAATAGCAACGTCTAACCTAATTGAACATCCTGAATGCCCAGAGATATGAAGGAGAAACTGAACCTGATTTTACCTGTTGAGGTTGTTGTACTGGGATTACCATAAAGAGACCTCAGCAACTTCCTCCAGGGGCCTGAGGACTCCCCCACCACCATGTCAGGGCTGGTGCTTGCACTTGCCATTGGAGAGCCTGAGTGTAGGCTTCCCCTACCTGCCTCCACCATCCCCTCCTAGAGGGAGGGTGGCACTGAAGCTCTTGAGTGCTTCAGAGCCCAACTCACCACATGAAACACTGGAGCACTTCTCCAGCTGTTAACACAGATCAAGCATAAACCCTACAGATACTGCCTCAGCTGGCTTTTACCTGAAAATGTCACCTACTGGCTAGGAAGTTGACTGGCACAACCCAGTACAAAATCTGCTGATACAAGAGTGCAGCACTTGGGAAGGAGACAAACTTTTCCTAACTTCTACTAACACCATTGTCCATGCCACCTTAGCTTGTCAGGGAGCAGTGAGCCTGCTCACACACCTGGTGCACCACTATGACAACCAGCATTTGAGAAAGCTGGCACACTACAGCTATTTATAACCAAAAAAAAAAAAAAAAAAAAAAAAAAAAGAGTCTTTACTACTGAATGCACCCAGAGGCACAAATGACCCTACCCAACATAAATCATAGTGACACCCTCAAGAAAGAAGGTCCTGCCTGCATTAATGAAAGTAAATTCAAAATTAAGAAGTGACTGTTTGCCCAGATGCAAAGAAATCAGCATAATTATTCTGGAAGTATTAAAAAACAAGGGTTTTTGATGCACCAAAGGAACAGTAATTTTCTAGCAATGAATCCTAACCAAAAGAAAATATTTCAAAAGTCAGAAAAAATTCAAAATACTGATTTTAAAGAAGCTCAGTGAAATACAAGATAAATCTAAAAATAAATACAAAGAAATCCAAAAATCAATTCAGGATATAATATAGAAATTTACTAAGGAGATATCTTATTTTTTTTTCTGGAAATTAAATATTCTTTGAAGGGGTTAAAAAATACAGTTGAAACCTTCAACAATAGATTATACCATGCAGAATAGAGACTCTCTGAATCTGAAGACAGGTCTTTTGAAATAATCCAGTCAGACAAAAATAAAGTAAAATGAGTAAAAAGAAGGACAAAGCCTTAAAGAAGTATGAGACTACAGAAAATGACAAAGCTTATGAATCATTGTTATTCTTGAGGGAGAAGAAAAAGCAAGAAGTTTAGGAAATCTGTTTAAAAAAAAATTGATGAAACCATCCCTTATCTTACAACACATTTAGACATCCAGATGCAAAAGGCCTGGCAAACACCAGGAAAATACATAGCAAGATGGACTTCACCATAATATGTAGTTAACAGACTGTCTAAAGTCAATGTGAAAGTAAAGGATTCTAAAATTATCAAGATAAAATTGTCGAGGGGGTGCCAAGATGGCTGAATAGGAAAAGCTCCAGCCTCCAACTTCCAGCATGAGCTACACAGAAG